GATTTTGATTTATTTTCATTTGTATTAATTGCCCTGATATTGTTGTTGCATAGCTGATTTACTTAAATATTTTGCTTATTTATTTTACTTAATTATTTTTCATGCACCCCACTGTGATTTAATGTAATAATTTAAATTAATTATTTATTAATGTTTTTTAAGATTCAATTTTAAGATAAATCTATTGTTAGGTTTACGATTTTGGAGTGGTATAGTGGTTTTTGGAACCGATCTTGGCCTTGTGGCTAGGTTTCCATTCATGAAAAAATTAATAAAATGGACGACATATGATGAACATTTTTCACTCCGATCTACGTTTTTCGCAGTACATTGTGTTGGTCCATTTGAACCGCCAAATATATCAAAACATCCGTGCTTATTTCCTGAACAAATCACCTTTCCCGTGAAAAATTAATATGATAATTTTGATGGGACAAACTTGTCTAGATCGTTGGGTCTAGTAGCAAAATTTCCCCCTTTTGCAAACTCGTCGGCCTATAAATATACCTTACAACATAGATGTGTAGGACAAACAAATATTAAAAAAAATATATAGATGTACCGAAAACAAAAAATGCCAAAAATCGTAAATTTTACATTTGCTCTCTTCGGCAACGCTGATCCTTACTCTGTTCATAATAGAACTATTACGTATATGATATACAGCTTTAGAAATACGGCAAATAACACAGTTTTTTTTCGCATGGCAATTTGTTCGCACAAAGAACAGAACTTGACCTTATTTTAAATTAAGCTTAAAACAAATTTCAATTTCATCCCCGCAAGTGGTGCACTATTGCCACTAAAGAGGCATACATAGGTAAATAATAACGAGAATATCGATAATCTCGCCATTGAGAAGTACAAAACAAATTGCAACCACGATAGTCCCACTCGCCATTACTCCCCATCATTGCGAATTGTATTCTGACATGTACAAGCGACGAAGAAAAAGGGCAGGCGCCGTCCAAAATATAAACACAAGCATCGAAACGATTAAGAGGTACATATTATTTTCAGGGATATCATTGAAAGAACAGCAACATTCTAAATGGACAAAAGCTCCATGAAAAATATTGTCGACAGTGTTAGCGAACATTTGCAAAGCACGATTTTATCATCGTATATTTTTCGAAGCAATCTCACCTGCATACATAAACATACGAGTAATTCTATTGATCTTTCCCCGAAAATGAATCAACTGCGAAATATGTGAATATTTGCGTATATTGGTCCGCAATCTATGCTCAATATTTGGTTTACTTGGTTAGTTTGGTTTAGGCTCACTACATAAAACACATGTCCACCTGGACCACACGACATTTATTATTCCATAGTCGCTAAACGTAATAACTTAAATATAATTTTGCACATCAATTTTTAATACTTTTTTATTACAAAAACACTGAACTGAAACTGCTGCGAATGAACAATTACTTGCCAACGAACAAGACAACTAACTAGGGTAACATAGTTCGAATTTGGGCTTATGTAGTGGTTTGTTGCATGGCACAATGAATAGGTAGTCCATTTAGCGCAGCTGATGTCTCGATTAACTGTCAAAGTGGGTCATTTCTACTTGAATTCCATGTGCAGTGTTGCCAACCATTTGAAATATTATATGGAAACATTTGACAGATAATCGAGACAAAAACAAAGGTTTTTGTTGGTATACATCACCTTATTATTGCATCATGGTTTGTTGTTGTCAGCCATGGTACATGGTCCCGATTAACTGTCAAAGTGGGTAATTTCACATGTAAACATTTTACAAAAACAGCATTGTTGTTATAGAAACTTAATTGTCTTTCTGACAATTAGTTTTTGACAACAATAAACAAAAATATATTTATTTGTTTTTTTTTTCAACGAATATTCTTTGAAGAATTGAAATGTAATATTCATGGATTGTTGAAGATTTTAATTGAGGGAAAAGCGAATGTTCGAGTTATTTGAATAAATTTACCACACCCGATATTATTTTTCATGGAATTTTTTAAAAAGGGTTGCCATTATTAATTTCTCAAAAGAGACTACCTTTTGAAACTATGCCATATTGATTTGCATATTTTTTTTAAAAAATCAAATTTTCTAAAGATATTGAGTATTTCAAGTTAGACAATCCTATTCATAATTGTATATAAATATACGTGCTGTGTACAGACATACTTAGAGGCTGAGAACTTCAAAATATTAAACATTTTGTAATTATTGCCACTGAACACGTGTTGTGCCTACATTTTCATTTACATTGTGAAGGCTGAATACTGTCAAAGGCAAATTTATGAAAAAATTGGAAACATTTGACTGCATGAGACTACCTTGTATAATTATGCAATGCATAAAATTTCATTTCATTACAATGAAAATACGCATTGCGTATCAAAATATAAAGTTGAAAATTTTCAACATTGACATTGCGTATTTTGATTTTTTATTTGAAATAGAATTTCAGTCATTGAAAAATTTCTTTTTCTATACATGTAAACATTCTTCGATCAATTAAGAAAATATTTTCATCCATTTTCTCGGTTTCCAATTGGCACATATTCAAAAAAAAGTCCTTGTGTATTTGGGTAATACGGACGTCTAACAAACCCTATAATGAAATTGATTGATGAGTTACAAATTAAAAAGAGATGCCATTGTCCATTTCTTAAATGAGATTACCTTCCATACCATGATGCAATAACAAGGTGATCTATCAAAACAAAAACATTTGTTTTTGTCTCGATTATCTGTCAAATTTTTCCTTATAATATTTGAAATGGTTGGTAACACTACACATCGAATTCAAGTAAAATTACCCATTTTGACAGTTAATCGAGACATCAGCTGCGCTTAATGGTCTACATATTCATTGTGCCATGTTCCATACTTATGTCATGTTTTGTTTTTTAATTTTTTGGTTCTACCATGGCACAATAAACAGGTAGTCCATTTACGCAGCTGATGACTTGATTAACTGTCAAAGTGCGTAATTTCTACTTGAATTCGATGTGCAATGTTGCCAACAATGTGAAATATTATATGGAAAGATTTAACAGATGGTCGAGACCAAAACAAATGTTTTTATTTTGATACATCACCTTATTATTGCATCATGGGTTCTACATTACAACAACATTTTGACATTTATTTGCACCAATATCTGGGCCGATGCGGATACCTTATTAAATATACCTTGGTCTCTACCATGATGCAATAATAAGGTGATGTATCAAAACCTTTGTTTTTATCTATCAAACTTGTCCTTATAATATTTCACATGGTTGGCAACACTGCACATCGAACTCAAGTAGAAATTACCCACTTTGACAGTTAACATCTGGGCCGATGCGGATACCTTATTAAATATACTTTGACAGTTAACATCTGGGCCGATGCGGATACCTTATTAAATATACCTTGGTCTCTACCATGATGCAATAATAAGGTGATGTATCAAAACCAAAACCTTTGTTTTTATCTCGACCATCTGTCAAACTTTTCCTTATAATATTTCACATGGTTGGCAACACTGCACATCGAATTCAAGTAGAAATGACTCACTTTGACAGTTAATCGAGACATCAGCTGCGAAAAATGGACTACCTATTCATTGTGCATGGTCTCTACCATGATGCAATAATAAGGTGATGTATCACAACAAAAACCGTTGTTTTTGTCTCGATCATCTGTCAATTTTTTCCTTATAATATTTCACATGGTTGGTAACATTGCACATCGAATTCGAGACCATGGCACAATGAATAGGTAGTCCATTTAGCGCAGCTGATGTCTCGATTAACTGTCAAAGTGGGCAATTTCTGCTTGAATTCGATGTGCAGTGTTGTCAACCATTTAAAATATTATAAGGAAAAATTTGACAGATAATCGAGGCAAAAACAAATGTTTTTGTTTTGATACATCACCTTATTATTGCATCATGGTCTCGACCAAGATCTATTAATAAAGTCACCAAGATAGCAATTGAAATCGGAAAACAGCTGTTTTTTCTCAAGTCTAATGTCAAATATTTTGACTTTGTTTACGTTTTCATAATGGAAGTCAATTCACAATAATGCATTTTGACAGCAAACTTGAGAGGTATCGACCAAGATCTATTAATAAAGTCACCAAGATAGCAATTGAAATCGGAAAACAGCTGTTTTTTCTCAAGTCTAATGTCAAAAATTTCGACTTTGTTTACGTTTTCATAATGGAAGTCAATTCACAATAATGCATTTTGACAGCAAACTTGAGAGGTATCGATTATCAGCTGGTCTCCCTTGGTGACCTTATTTATAGGCCATGGCATGGCACAATGAATAGGTAGTCCATTTAGCGCAGCTGTTGTCTTGATTAACTGTCAAAGTGGGTAATTTCTACTTGAATTCAATGTGCAGTGTTGCCAACCATTTGAAAAATTATATGGAAAAAATTGACAGATAATCGAGACAAAAACGAATGTTTTTGTTGCGATACATCATGATGCAATAATAAGGTGGTGTATCAAAACAAAAACATTTTTTTGTCCCGATTATCTGTCAAATTTGTCCTTATAATATTTCAAAAATTTGGCAGCATTGCACATCGAATTCAAGTAAAATTTACCACTTTGAAAGTTAATCAAGACATCAGCTGCTCTAAATGGACTACCTATTCATTGTGCCATGGTATACATCACCTTATTATTGCATCATGGTCTCGACCATCTGTCAAAATTTTGTTTATAATATTTCACATGGTTGGCAACATTGCACATCGAATTCAAGTAAAAATGACGCACTTTGACAGTTAATCGAGACATTGTGCCATGGATCGGCACAAAAACAAATGTTTTTGTTTTGATACATCACCTTATTATTGATTGCATCATGAATGGTCTCAAAACAGAAAAACAGGGATTTGGTTCATATTTTGGAAATTAAAAGCATTGCTTTAAAAGTATACTTTAAACCAATACGTGCGTTGGTGTGTGGTAAGCGTTTATTAAAGTAAAAGCCGTATAATAAAAAATGTTATTTCGTGGGGTGTATTTCGGTAAGGGTGGCCGGACTATCTTACAAATATTATCCCGTCAACTGTCCCGTAAGGCCAATCCGGGGTTAAACTATCAAATATCTGCCATCGAAGATGTTATGAAGGATATTGAAAATAATCCTGAAGGATTTGGAGATTTGGAGTCCGATTTATCTAACGTTCACAAATTGCACAAAGAATATGAGCAAGAAGAAAAATTAAAGAAGGACATGGTAAGAAAATACGTGGTAAAATCCAAATATTTTCGTGATCAGAAATATCCAAATTTCTTAACATATGCCGAGAAGGAAAACATTCGGCTTTTACATAATAAGAACCCCGAGCAATGGTCTATTGAAGTATTATCAGAAAGCTTCCCAGCAAATAGCGATGCAATTAAAAAGATACTAAAGGCAGATTGGAAACCAAGGTCAGTTTCGGCCCACGATGCTGCTGTATTCCGTAATTGGGAGAAATTAAGAAAAGGTGAAATCAAGCTACCAGCCGATTTGGAACATCATTTAAAGAAATTTTGTAATAGAAAATTAATAACATCAACACATTTGCCTGAATCGAGCAGCATGCTTGTGACAAGAACGGAAGTCCGAACGCCTTCATCAACGGAGTTTTCGTCAATTGTAATGGGAAAAGGTACAAAATCTATACCAGTTAAAAATAGAACAAGGCAATGCGTTGACGAAATCGATGATGAGACTTTCCTACTTGATAAAGTTGCCATCAAAAAGCATATGAGGGCATCTGATATCAAAGAAATACGCGGGGTTGAGATTTTGTCAAATCCAGATACCTTAGATCTTGGCAAAGACGTGACTAAAAACACGTCTCAGACCTCCACTAATATGAACAACAGGGTATATGATATCAAAGACATGCACGGTCATAATACTTTGTCAAATCCGGGTACCTCCAATTTTGACATAACTAAAAACTCATCTCAGACCTCCAATGATATGAATAACGTTGATTCCCCGTCCTTAGCTGATAAATTTACTTCTACCGAAGTTGAAGTTTGCGACGCAGATAAGAAAAGATTTGAGATGTCGAGAGTAAAGCCTAAAATACATATACCCCGAAAATTATATCGTAAAGGAGCCACTTATCGGGTTGATGATACTTATTACGACGACGACGGTGAATTTCTTTATCGTGTACCTGGTATGATGGGTTTCACACCCAACTAATTTAATTGTCATGCAAATATATGTACTTTTGAAACTAAATTCACAACCATTAAAGTTGAAAAAATGCTTTAAGGAATAAATATGATGAAGATTTGTGAAAATTATGCGGACCCTAAATGATTATTTCACACTCGCACTAACCTCGGACGCCAGCGAAAATCCTATGATCCCACATGGAAGTAGTAATGCATTTGTTTTGCTTAAAAAATACGGCTGCAAAAATTAATATCATAAAACATATTTTTATTATTCAATGCATTGTTCAAACCAGAACAACATATCTATACACAAAATAAACATATATCTATGATAGACCTTAAAACTCAATGTTAAATGTTTTGTTGGGGAAAGTGGCGTTAGTATTTCAATCAACACTATGTTCTGAATTGGTATGATGGTATACAATTGCCGACCGCAAAAGGTGAAACATTTGCAACGTAGAACAAAATAATGAGACAATTAATTATAGTAATGTTTAATGTTTAACAATAATACAAACATTATGTGATTTTGATTTCTATTCTAAGCATATCAAAAGAATAAATGTGGATCATATACAAAATTGATGTTGGTTTTTTGTAACAGGTTTACTTGGAGGTATAAATAAAATATTTCTTTGATTCATTTAACTCATATATGTTCTGTATCAGGCATATACACATGGACTGTATAAAACGATATATTCTATTGAGGCATCCGTTCTGGAAACAGCAAATTAAACTAGTTAGATTTTGCGGAAAATGGACTACACGAACCAACAGAGGGTGGGGTAGGTGTTGCTGCACTGCGAATACCGTCTCCTTCACAAACATATTTTCCTACAAATTGGGTTTAAATTAGTGTATTGTATATAAAACTTGTAAATAAACATACCTGAAACGAATCTTTTTTTTACCAATGATACTCTATAACCAAGTCCTTGGAGTTCAAATTCAATGCCTGAAAGTGTTGTACCCTCACAATTGAATTGTGTATTCAATAAAGCAGGTGTCGATGGTCCATCGTTTAATTCCAAACGTGCCCTTAGGGTTCCGACGCCTCCATCGGGCGAATTCTGTGATATATCTGTAAAGTTCCATACAAGCCGGTTCGACTCGCCCAACCTATCAACAGAAAATTGATCAGTCAGTCAGTAAAGGTTCAATGTGCGGGCACACAATTTGAACAATCATTCGTTCAGAGCACATCCAAATTACTTATCAACTACTTACCATGCCGAATGTGGTTTAGATTGTACATTTCGCACTGCTCCATTCACGGGAACAGAAAGTGTAACATTCAGCAATGGACATGCAGCTGCCATAGCATGATTATTATATTTATAATCGATTTTTAAAGCGGTGAACGTGGGCTCGCATTTCCAGTAGGAAACAATCTGGAAAGGACATGAACCGGCACCCGGTTTGGTACGGGCCTGATACTTAAGAATGTCTACATTAAAATAAGATGCTGTTGGGTTATGTTCGGCTTGTCGGCGCAACAATGCTGTCAGCGCTGGCATATTAAATTCCAGCATTGTGCTAAATGAATTTGACTGATTCTTGTCGCTAAATATAGAATTAAAAAGTAATAATTGGGAATTATGTAATCATAACACTACTTACACATGTATTAATTTACTGTTTGGTATAAAATTGTCCAAGTTCTGAACATTTTTAATTCGAAATCCTAGTTTTGCAGGATTTGGATTGTTAGCCAATAGACCAGCAATTCCGGCTGGGAATGACAGCATCATATCTCCAGATATCTTCACTTGACAACGAGATTCGTCACTTCCTCTAAATCCAACAAAATAGATACTTGTGTTAAGATTTCTATGGATGATATGCATACTACCTGAAGTAAGCATGAATTATCTCATGAAAGGCCACAGCCAATGGCACTGTATCTGAAATGCCTATGGTTAGCGGGGAAGGACCTCTCGAGGAACCGATGCCCCCAATAGCTGTCCGAAACTCCAGGGAACCTATGCTGTCGGCACGATTCATTGCATTTATTGGTGCAGGACTGATACGACCGCGGGCACCGATGGACATTTCCGATCGTCGAGATGGTGGTCGAGGAATGGCAATACTGCTATTAGTTACCGATGTTGGGGTAGGAATTTGGCGACCATGGCTCTTGGCAAGGTTTGCTGAAGCTGGTGCTGAATTACTAACGTCCCCTAATTCGGAAAATATGTCTCCCAAATCGGCATACCTACATACAAGGGAATATGTTATGAGTCTAGTCAAATATGTTACAATAATTATTCAACCTTGAATTTGTAGTCATTGATAGAGTTGGACTTTGCAAAGGCGCATACGGATGCACAGCAGCGGTAGGAGTTGAAGCATTTGAAATCTCTGGAGATTGCTGCCGCGATGGCAATCTGGACTGCTGTTGTAACTGCTGACTGTGCTGCTTAATATGTTAACCAAACCATACTAGTTAAACATTTAATTTATGTATGAAAGAAACACTTACAGTAAATATTCCAGTTGGAGATAAGGAAATATTTTCTACGGTAGCTCTTAGCTCGTCGACACTTGCTGACATGGGTGCTTGACCATTATTGAGAGGTTTAATCTTAACGTGTATACGCTTCTCGGGTCTATCGTTGTCCGAATCAGAATCGGAGTCGGAATAAAAGCTACCTGCTAGTAATTTAGGAAATTCAAAAGTATTGACACTGAAATTAGTCTTGGTAAATTTGACTATATTTACCATTTTCATTACGTTCTTCCCATGCGACTTCTTTTGGAGGTTGAATGCTATAACCGTCTTCATCTACGTCATTGCCATCAGCAGATTGACCCATCGATGGTGTCACGTTGTTGTTATTCTTTATATGACTGACATCTCCGATTTCGTTCACATTTGCTAATCCTACAGTTGTAGTACCGATAGTTAGCCCCGACCCTGGAACGCCCGTTGCTGTCGACTCCAAACTTCCAAATGCAGAATTAGATGAAATTGGTTGTCCGCCAGTGCTACTTCCACTTGAGTTTGGATTTTTCATTTTACTATCATCATGTTCGCCAAAAGTATTGCTTGGTTCTAGACTGTGGCCAGAAGAAGGGTTTATTTAGCAGATGCTTAGATTGATCTAAGTAGAAGAACAGCTTACCTATGTACCCTTTCCTCTTGGATATTGTCGGCAATATCATTGTCTTTCTTTTTCTTTGACTTCTTAGTTTTAGTCTTATCTCGGCGACTTCTTAGCAGCTCAGACACTGTGCAAAAATATATATTGTTAGTACATTTTTGATCACGTCGTTTAATTATATTATACATTTATTAATGTTTATCATGCTACGTACAACATAACAACGGTAGAAGCATACATTTTACAAAAAATATATCAATTGCCTATTTTTACAGCCGCTATTTTGTAGTCTGAACAAGAGAGATGGGCATAGTTGTATAACCTAATAATTTGTACAAATTGTTACTGAATAATTTAGGTGGTATTAAGCAATATGCATTGTATAATAACTTGAAATATGTACATTTAAGTTGCTATTGTGCAGTATTACCTATTTTTAGTATTATTTTTGTAGATACCTGAATTTTGGGACCGAATAAATAGTTCTTTATAAAAAATGTTCGCTATATCTGTATATTGCATAAGGTAAAGATTTATATGAAAATATGTCGGGGCCATAAAAGCATTTTTAGGTTATATACGACAGAAGTTAATATGAGATTAATAGTTTGTTTGCGATCGTCTGGTGCTTAAGATTGAATTACTCATAAATTATATTAATTTTGATAATCTGCGCACTAAACTAATCAAATCTATTTAAGGGGCATTGTTCACTTAAGGGGATCCCTAATCTCAATTTCAAAAAATTATATTTTTTAATGTACAATTTTCGACGTATTTCCATGTAATTGAAAATGGAGTACTTGTATGCAACCATCTCTCAATATAGAGAATATATCTATACATAGGAATTATGTATGTCAACGAAATATGCAGTTGCTTCTGCCATTCTTTGTTAACATTTCCACTTAAATGTAAAATGTATGCTAATACGAAAAGTTTGCTTTAAAAATTAGTGAGAAAATAGATAAAGTGCACTTGAACTCAAACACCAACTCTTAAAACTGGATAATTCCATAATAAATTAAGCCTAAGAAAAGACCAATAATAAAATATAATCAAATTGATAAGAAAAGTCAGAAAGCATTTTGGATTCCGATGCGTAGATATCTGGCTTTTGGTATTAAACTGTGAAATACTCATACCCTGTGAATTGGAAGAGAAGATATTCAGTAGGGATGTTGTTCGTCTTTGATTTGTGGTACCCAACACTGTTGACGGAGTAGAAGTAGTGTTCGTGGTTGCTGAAGAAGTCTTATTTGCTATGTTTTGCTGTGACGGAGAACACTGCTGAGATTTGGTCAGTAAAGCTTCTGCATTTTTGCCGTCGGCAGGATCTGTCACTAAAGCATCTCGTTGTTCCACTATGCATGTATACATGAGAGGGGTATATAGTTATAATCAAGGTCAGATTGTGAGTAAAATTTATATATATAGATAGAATTTTGTCTACCATGAAAGCAATAGTATTAGTGAATAGTGGGTGCATGTGAATTCTATAGCTTAAAATGTATGTCCTAGTTTGTTTTATTTTTCTGAAGAATAAAGTTGGTGTTTTGAGCAATATTTTACTAAATTACAAATAGGTAAGGATAGACACGAAGGGGTCATCTATGGAAAATAGATTAAGAAATTTTTATGAAAATAAAGTCTTGGAAAGTGAGCGATGTAATACAAGGGATTAGTTTTTAGCAAAATATTGTTTTAGGGATTGAGTGTGTAATCATTAGCCAAAAATGAACCTTGATTATTATTTTCCTGTTGTGACTGAAGTTCTGATTTGATGATTGTGGTAGATGTGCCAGTAGTGGTGGTGGTACAAGTAGTATTGTTGGTGGTTAAATGGCCTGATAGTGAACTTGTGATGCAATTACTATCCGTACCGAAATTTCCACTACCACTAGTGACAGATGTAGGCATTCCAACATTTTGTTGCTGTTGTTTATTCGTATTATTAGAAGAAAACCAATTTCGAAAATTACTTTTCAGGCCGCCTGCAGCAGTTGTCGATGTACATTCTGGCGATGTGGGACGAGACGATGGCTTTGTGTTCTTCACTTCATTCGTTAAATCGTCAGCATTAGCTAAACCGCTACTGCCACTAGCTATGCTACCTATTGATATTCCCTCTGCGCCGCGTAGTTCGGACGCAACATTTCCTCCACGATTGATGCTCGTGACCGAATTGGAATTCGAAGTTATTGATGACTGATTAAGACGGGCGTTCGAGGAAGCTAGGGCCTGTTGATTTATAGATAATGGAATGAACTCAAGTTCTGGCATTTCTAAGGAGAATAAAATTGTTACTTAAACCTAATTTGGCATAATGCATATAGGTTTTACCAACCAGGTTTTTCCAATCCAGTGTATTTATTTAAAACAAATTGTTCCAGCAATTTGTCGACGGTCATGTCTAAAAACTGGCGCTTAAAGTCGGAGTGTACCTTAGAAACAAAAATTAAAAAAATATTTCATTCGGAACATTACTTGGAACTTACTTGCCCGACCATGTCGTGATTGTTTTGCAGCAATTCCAAGTATGTTGACAGAAATTCTTTCATTTGTCGCAAGTGTACTTCCTCTATTTCTTGGAAACGCTAAAATGAAAAAAAATATTGTGTATTCACAATTTATTTATATATTTTATTGCCACGAAAAAGCCATCTGGCTAATAAATATCGCAACAATTTAATTGCCAATTCACTTACTTTACATGTCTGCGTCATGCGACGTTCAAATTCGATTTTAATAGGATTATGTTTATCCAATAATACTTTATATTCCTCCTGCAGCTTTCGCAATTTATTCTCCATTTTGTCAATATCTTTTTGCGAAGCATTCTCTTTGCGCATTTTTTCCAATTCCTGCACTTTGCCACTATAGATATCTTTCGCTTTTTGAACCTCTGACGTCGACAATTGTATTGCCTTCACGCATTCCAGTGTTTGGGCCTCTTCCTCTTTTACTGCTCTCTGTTTCTTATGCAGTTCATCGGCATATTTTGCCACATCTTTTACTAGTTCGCTTAGCTTCTGCACCATTTGCATATGCAAAGTAGACAATTTTTCTGCCGACGTCCTTAATATTGTCCATATTGGAGCAAAAGTACTGTTCAATGTTCCAGTGCTAGCTTTATGTGCCAATTTCGACATTAACTTTGAGTTTTGTTCTTCAATATTCGATTTCTCTCTGAAGAACTCCGAAAGTTCTTTGCTGGCTTGTAGCCCAAATTTCATGTTATGGTAAAGGACGTCAAATCCATTATTTTTCTCACCCTAAAATGTTTATATGTTAATAACAAACACTCAAAATAAGTGATCATTAATTGTAACCATACCCAAAAATAATCGTTAAAGTCAACCGTCATTTTGAATATTCTTACTCTTACTATAGTAGGGCAAACGTATAAATTGACATCACTTTGGCATGTTCAATAGCAGTACAAATGTCTACTCCAACTGTGTCATCAGTCTTCTATGCTTCACATATATAGTTTTGATTTAAGCTGCGAATAAGGACGTATGATAATTTATGTTAATTGAATTCAAACACTTTTTTCCTAAATTATTAAAATGTCCATAGTATTAAACATGGTATAACAATATGAGGTAACAGCAAGTGTTGTTGTACAACAAACGATACAATGCAAAGCAAATTTATTATTAGTTTAATTTATATTTAAAATTTTGTATGAATTTTTATCTATTTGAATAATAAACCAATTTTTTTGGTCGCAGTAATTTGTGGCAGCTGCCGCGGTTACACGAATAATGCAAACAAATTTTATCAGTTAAAGTTACACTGTTTTAATGAAAATAAGCTAAAATGTATTAGATGAAATTGGTTAATTATTTTAAGTTAATTGAAGCTTGAAATTTTTAATAATAAAATTTCGAAATATTCTACGAAGATATTGTGGATATCTTATCTCAATCTAAAATATTGCGAGCTCTATCGTGATTTCAACAGACGTTGGCCGAGAAAGACGCAGGCCGTTTTGGATCGTAGACCCCTTTGTGGTGGAAACTGATATGGACTCATATACTCCTTTAAACAATATTGGCATATCACCAGCAAATGCAAACGACATACAATTTCTTGAGTACGAATTGTATGTCTGTAGTGCCTCTATAGATTTTGTAAGCTCAATAAATAATCATCAGGCCCACTGTTTGGATGTTGCACTTCCTAGCGATATAAGAATTCAGAATACCACACTTTTTGTATTGATATTTTAGTTATAGCTGTGGCTGTTATGCCCTACGCAAACTTATCTGGTTTCTTAACAACTCCAAATTGTTACACATACACTTGATTTCTTATTTCAACACTCAGTAATACAAATTGCAATATAGCTCTCTAAATTAACACTATTTTACTGAAATTTTGCGTAAAAAGACAACATTTAGTAAAAATTTTTACAAAATATCACAGACAGACTGCCTGTGTACTCGTACTTGTCTTTGCACAGCAGATTTACTTAAATATTATTTTCATATTGTTTGGTATGATTTAATTTAATGCAGAATTGGCTGTAGTTTTGTATTTTGTGTTCTTCTGATAGACCTGTATTTTGAATGTCCGTTCACCTCATGGTGGAGGGCAGGGATGGAAAATTCAGTACAATAGTACTTTTTTACCCAAAAAAAGTACCGTAGTACCTCCGTGACTATTTCAGTGCCATTCCAATCCTTCATTACACCATGATATATATTTTTTAGATTAGAATTTTTTATGGATTTGACCGACAAAAGTATTGCAGATAAAGATATTGATGTGATTGCAATATTCCTCTTGAAAAAATGAATAGGTGTACGACTGTTAACTGTTCAGTTATGATTGAAATTACAAACATTAAATTAATTTATCAGTTCCAATCTTTTTTTAACCGGATATGTTTGTCAGATACTAAATTTGGCATATTCTGTGCTATCTCCTGATTACATTCATAGTCGTCGTGATTACATCAATAATTTCAAGAGCATTTTGGAACTGAAATTCATGTTAGTTTGGGGTATATTGGTTTTCGAGAAAGAGGTAGTGAAATTAAAATTAGTCAATAGAATACATACTCAAATGCAATCGAAAGAAGCAAGAATTCTCTTTTTCTTTTTTTATTTTCTTAAAAAAAGTACTCTTTTATTAAAAAAAGTACTCTTTTGGTACCTTTTCACATTTTTCATTTTCCATCCCTGGTGGAGGGTATAAAAAGTCCGGCTCGATCGAACTTAATGAAGCTGTTATTTGTTTATTCACGCTATATTTCAATATATGGAATTAAAATTAGTCAATAGAATACATACTCAAATGCAATCGAAAGAAGCAAGAATTCTCTTTTTCTTTTTTTATTTTCTTAAAAAAAGTACTCTTTTATTAAAAAAAGTACTCTTTTGGTACCTTTTCACATTTTTCATTTTCCATCCCTGGTGGAGGGTATAAAAAGTCCGGCTCGGTCGAACTTAATGAAGCTGTTATTTGTTTATTCACGCTATATTTCAATATATGGAATTATACCTTGTCGACATTAGAAGACCTTTTGTTTAGGGACTGAGAGTTGTTGTTTTAAAAATATCTAAAAAATAAAATAAATTTAAGACCAGTTTACTTAAGCAACTTTAAAAATACTATACACACTATATTTGGAAGAATTTATCAGTTCCCCTTTAAAACGTTAAATATTAGAACATTAGTTTAGTTTAGAATCGTATTCATTTTATTTGTATAATATTATGGAAAACATTGACATGTTTGTTGTTTAATTCCTGGTATACAATGGTGCAAAATACATGTTGCACAATGTTGAACATGTTGTTACATTTGTAATACAATCTGAGAGTTGATATTAATAATTTCATATATATTCGACGGAGCTGTCGGACATTTTCTGAATTGTTTTCTTCATTTCTTCTGCATGTGATATTTCTTCGTCAAGGCGGTGTTCCAATGCCCTTGTTAGAATTGTACAACAATCTTTAATTGCGTGGTATATAATATTCTTAATTTGAAGTTTATCTTCATGATTTGTATGAGAGTGTGAGAGCCGTCGAAATTCATGGGTTAAATGATAACAATGTGTTATGTTTTCGGGAGATACAAAGTCTTCTGCTACTTTTATACAGTTATGAAGATTTTGAACTTGATGTGGGGCTCCGGCGGGAATAAATACAGCGTCTCCCAAACACTGCACTATTGGGTATCCTTCAACACCATATTCTTTAAATAATCTAGCCCTTAGCTTGTCGTCCAAATACCAATTTTGGTCGTGAATTGGATCATGATCTGGTTCCAGGCGATAACCTTTCTCCAATGTAACTCTGTTCAGCAGATCTCTAATCTTGTCAGCATCTCTGGCCGGAAATATGTGCCACAAAGCACCGGCCACCACATTGACATTTTGAACCCTAGCCCGGGTTAAGAACTCGCAGCCTCCCATAGCTATGGCTTTGTGTGATGCTGATATTTGCGATTTAGAATCGGAGTCCTCTGGTATGCCAACGTATACCATTATATTAACAGCATCTGATATATCCAAGTGTAAATTTGTCGTTCCTTTATCCGGATGGAAAGCGGAGCCATACGCATTGTACATCTTTGGTCCCAAATCGGGAGGAACAAACATTTTGGGCAAACAACTTGCAATATTGAGGTGTCCTGTGCGTAATGTATATTCTGGCATGGGCAAACCTTTCATAAGGTCCTTGTAACGCGTCGGTAGTATTTCAGCAAAGTCATCACCTGGGGGCCAATCTTTCAATTTAAGAAGCATTGGTTTTCCATTAGCATCTAATAAACGCTTTTTCATACACTGAAAGCCTTCCCAAAAATGTCGCATGGGTTGATTTGGTACCAGATTTCCATTCAAACAGTTGATCAAATCATTAGGTTTGTCACCAAAATCCTTTAAGAAAGCTTCTGGTCGCCATAAGTCGAGATTTAAAGATTTAGCCACTTCCGATATCATAACTGGTTGTCCACATTTCCATACTTCTTGAAAAAGTATTCGGTTGTCGGGATGGTTGGCATTAGTAAGACGTAATAGTTTTCCATCACAAAGCCACTCGTGCGGTACACCGGGAGCTATTAAACTGGAATTAGTTAAAATCATAGCTCGAGGTGGTAGAAATCTGCGTAAACCGGCCAAACCACTACGTAAAAAATTAATGTGTTTGAAATTGTCAAAAGCGCTAGTTATTGGATCTTTACCAAGGGTTTGCTTGTTATAAGTACGGCCGGGAACATAATCGATGCCGTTGGACCGGGCAAACTCTAGTGCTTTCGAGTGTATTTGTTCTAAGCGCGCTTGCTTTCTCAGTGTTTCTTCGGTAGCAAGCGAAGAATCACTAGTTTGCTGTTTCAACTGTGACTCTTTTATCATATCTTGTATAATAGCCTTTAGTTCCCCATTTGGCAGTCGCTGTTTACTCATTAGACAACCACATAGCTGAGGAATTTGCCAAAGAGTCCTTACATCATGCAGAAGTCTGCCTAAGACGTTCAAAGCGTCTCCGGCTATTATTTGTGTCAACATCAACTCTTCCATATTATGGGTGACCCCACCAGAACATAACATCCAATGGTATTCATCTCTGCCTTTCTGTGGTTTATCACCAGGCCGGATTTTTCTTACTGTCCTGTTTTCCTTTCGATCTTTGAAGCAATCTATGCAGACCCCGAAACCACACTTGTCACATGTCCAATGGAAATTAAATAGGGTGGTATCGCATACATCACATATTTCTCGAATACCTTGGACAACTTTCTTCCACGCAATTGTTTTATTCGTATTTTCGTGCAACTTTAGTGCTTCAGCTTCTTGACGCCAAAGATAACAAAACTGATCACCGACATGCAGCAAAATGTAGCGACACACTTGAATATCCATATTGCCAGCGGTTGGTTCCGTATTTTCATCTGGCTTCCATATATTAATTTCTTCTTGTGTAGGATCAGTGTAGGGATTTGGAAATCCTGCCACCAAAAGTTGCCCTTCTTCAGTGTAACGAAGACACCTAAATTCATAAAATCGACAATAAACATCATTAGATCCTTGCTGTGGAGTTCTGCGTCGACATTCTCTGCATTTGTAGATTTTCGCGCCGGAATCTCCACTATTGTTTGAAACTTCCCCCTCCGACATAGTGGCGGCAGAAATGCTTTTCGTTTGAAGCTTGAAGCATGGTAGATGTTGCAAGAATGGCTTGCATGTTTTACGATATAACTCATCTTTAAGTTCTTCTTCTGGTGTTAGTTTATCCAACTGTTCAGAGACGTCGTCATTGTTCGTAGAATTATTACTGGTCTCATCATTGTTAAAGGCGATATTATGTTTTCCCCTCTTTTTTGGATCCTTGAAATCCGCATCTATGGATTGCTTTAAAATAGAAATATCTATTCCATTCCGATTATGTTGACCATCTTTTTCTATTTCTTCCAGTTTTAATTTTTGCTCATCAACTTTCGATTCAACTTCTCGTTGTTTCCCACCTTCTAAATTTTCCAGTGTCGAAGCATCGATTTCCTTGTTCAAAACATCATGCTCTGAGACAGTACTTTTCTTCGTCACCTCCAAGTTATCAATATGAATTTCTATAATGGATTTAGGTTCGAAAATGTTCTCTTCAAATTTACAATTTTTTATAGAAGGTTCATTCAAACGTCCCACTTCTGATGCTTTTTCTTCGGTTTCCTTTTTTCGCTGTATGCGGAAATGTTTCAATTCATTTAATGTTTTGCCTTTATTGGCTTCCTGCCAGACAATAGTACTTTCAGGCTGCATTTCACAGTCCATCTGGGGTGTTCCAGCCGGTAGTGCAACTGGCACAAGGGGAGTTTCTGATGACATGTTGATTTCAATATTCTAATATTTCCAGATGTGAAAAGAAAGAAAAGAAAACAACTTTTTGAATTTACTACATTCTGGTCGATTTAGACATCTATTTCAGGGCAAAGTAGCGGCAGTGAGTGCACTTTTCTGCTGTAATTGTAGTCAATTGGAACTCGTTAAAAAACGATACACTGGCAGCAATTGAAAAATCGATATGGCCTTTGCTTACTAATTACACAAAGCATTTAAAAAGGATAATGTGGAGGCAGCTTTGGTTTAACTTGAAATATTGTTTGCTGCTAATGTTCTCAGCCAAAGTTAACTACTCACCACCACCACATTACCTGCTTTTAACTTTGGAAAAGAATATAATACACGCAATTCTATTTCTACGACCGAAAGTGTTGATCTAGTTGCAATAGAGTAAATAATAATTTAGACACACTACAACCATTCAATTGACATTGATAAACCAATGCATGTAGAGTAACATAATTCCTAAAAAAATTAAGAGCTTAGCAAAATTTACAAACCCAATTCTAATTCGGCAAAGTGGTATTATTGAATACGTCGGAGGGCAATGGCAAATTCTTATTTCCATTAATTACTACAGTAATTGTGGTCATATATTCTTATATTCGAATTACTTAAAACACAATCAAACTAAATCATGTCCAAATGTTATCCTTCAACACTAAAATATCTAACATATAAATTTTCCGAAAAACAAGCAAACACTAATTACCTTTAGTAAAAGAAAAACAAACGTTGGTATTCTATATCATCATAATGAGTAAATGTTCGAAAGAAAGCGACATGTGCCCAAAAGCATTTTTTTAATATCACAATCATAATTTTCGATCATCGTTCATTATGGTTTACTGCAATGATAATAAGATGTTATAATTGAAATAAATTAATAGTCCACGAATGGGGTAGGGCAGGGCCGACCCGTCGTTTTATTAGGCTAATTATCATCACCCAAGGTATACTATGTACACGAACACGAAGGCTTTGTGCACATAAAAATTCATTTGAGGTCTCGAATTAGACCTGACTCGGAAAATCTTTCCACACAATGACGTAATTGGAATAAAAACAATATTTAATTCCTTTTTGTGATTACAATTTCGCTATCGTTTACCCATAGCGATAAAAATACATACATATCCACACATGTATACATATATAATAGTTAGTGGCGTCTCTGGAAATCCACAAATATCCGTCATATTAAAATGCACAAGCATTTTATCACCAATTCTACATTTTTTGGGGCGTATGCCAATATTTTTACAACTGCAAGATATCAGTAAATACTTATGTTCTCTTCCAAAGACCACAGTTTTTCTGTTTAGCCAAAATAAATTAGTTTTCTAATTACTTACATTGGTTTTTTCCTCAACCAGAACTATACTTTGTTTAGTCGAAATTTTTATTATTTTAATGGGAAAGGCACAAAGCACATGAAATAATTTTAAATTGGCTGTGAATGCATCGCAACACAATTAATTAATTTTTAACTCTTCTCGATAAATATTTCTGAATTCTGGACTCAAACAACGGAGAAAAAAATATATAAAAAATGAGCAGCTCTAGCTGTCATTTTACACTGGTGCGACAAAAATGAATCGCGCTCCACCATAAAAACAAATTGTCAGATGATAGAATGAATAGGGTAGATTCGTCAGCGATATGGTAAAAAAAAATGGAGTTGATGTTCCCGTATTGCAAGAATCTATTAATTTTGACTATTTTCTTTGATATCATAAAGGAAAATTTGTTATAGTAGTAAAAACTAGTACATTCCAGCATTATGTGAACAAGCCGATTACCATTAATTTAAAAAAAAATAAGATTTTATGGTCGTACCTAATTTACTAATTTTATAATAAAAAATAAGATTTTATGGTCGTACCTAATTTATTGCGCTCCGTACAAAAATACTCACCTTCTTACCTTTATATGGTTTGTTAGACGTCCGTATTACTCAAATACGCAAGGATTTTATTTGCATCTCTGCCAATTGTAAATGGGTGAAAACGTTTTTAAAAATAAATGAAAACATTACAAAATGTTTAATTATTGCCACTGAACACGTGAACAGGTGACTGTCACGTAATATATTTTAAATAAAGCGTGTTATGGTGTTAACAATTCGCTTTAGTCTAATAACGTGCAAAGTAATGGATCCCGAATACACTTCGAGTCCATATAAGGCCTGTGACATTGCCAGAGCATTTATCAGTGTTAGCAAAACACGTTGCGTCTAATATAAATTAGGTGCATAAATTCTACGCAAAGTGCTGTAAACTTTCCCCGCTAAAACATCAATGTGACTTTTGAAGGACAGTTCAGAATCGAGAATTATACCCAGGCATCTATGTTGGTGTACGAATTTAGCGAATAAAAATTTCATTTACATAGGTGAGAGAATTAGGCTCAATACCATTTAGAATCACAAATTGGCTTCTTGCATTGAAATAAAAATATATTGTATCACATGCAGATTTGGAAAAATCGTACTCATATTTAGTTTACATATAAGATGTCCATGATTAATACAATTAAATTTTTTTGGGAAATCCAGAGATACCAATACACTTATACCATTATTTATGTTATTTCTGATCGAGTCAGTTGGCTTAAATAGCAAGTAACTGGTATTAAATCCCCGTCGAAAAGCTTATTGCGATTCATTAATTGTTTGCGAACACGTCCCTAGCATTTGGGTTTTAATAATATATTCCATGACCATTGAAAAAGCCGGTAGAATGGAAATGAATCTTAGGTAATCGGCTTCAAATATCTCAGATTCTTTCACAAACCGGAACGTAAAAGAAGTATGTACATCTAAAAACCATCAAGATGTGAGTAATTAGAATCATTAATGCTATTGACATCCATATTTACCGCATCATGGTCGTTTATGAATTTTATTATTTTTATGCAAACAAACATTTTAATTGAAATTACGAGTAAATTTGCCGCATCATACTGGATGTTGTCTGGTAACTTTTTATAGTATTTTTGCAAACAAGAGAATATTTGAATTGCTCTCTGGAAAATGATGTGTAAATATTACTGGAAAAGTAAGCAGACACGCCTATTATGCCATGGTGCAGATATGGCAACGCCTACAAATTTATGGAGTAACGGCAACATAGGTACAATTGCCAAAAACAAAAACAACAATGCGCTTCTCATGCAGTCTCCATCCCACCTCATTCGTAAATACTTCGTTATACTACTTTCAGTTCTTCTTTCCTTTCTCCACTCTCTCCTTCGTTAGCATACTCTGGTTCTGTTGAGTGAAAAGAAACAGTAAAATTATTTTCTTAGCACGAAACGATTTCGCACAGAAGTTTTGAGTTAAACGAAATGAAACTTAGTATAATATTGTTTTATATGTGTTCTGTCAAATCAGCAAATTCGCCAACATGCAAATCAGTCAAATCAGTAACGGGGTAAGTGAATCTGGCTTAAGTTGAGTTTAGGGGCTTATCTCCGATTTTACTAAAATTGTTACCAATGGTAGATCTCGTCTCTCTGATCGGAATTCATATGCTCGTAACATCGACATTTATGAGCCGATTATGGTAGCTTGTTCCAAGCTTAATAAAAATGTATTTTGTCAATGATGACTTTTCAACACTAGCGATAATTCATGTTTCTTTAGAACATACAGGATAAGATCTATTAACAAGGTCACCAAGGTAGCAATCGAAATTGGAAAACAACTGTTTTTTTTTCTCAAGTCTAATGTTAAAAAATTCGACTTTGTTTACGTTTTCATAATGGGAGGCATTTTGACAGCAAACTTGAGTGGCGCAGATATCCAGCTGGTCTACCTGGGTGACCTTATTTATAGGCCATAATACAGGAGAACACATTACAATTTAAATTTATTAAAAACTATTTGTAGTTATGATATTATTTAAATTAGTTTGTCTTTATTTACTTTGTAATTGAAGCCAAATTACAATTTAATGGCCAATTTATATATAATTACAAAGAATCCACCTTACATCATAGCCACTGTAAAATAAATTCTTATAAATATAATATAACTAGCAAAGTGTCCGCTACTTCGTATGCGGAAAGGGAATACAAAAAATATTTCATATGACATCAGATATCTAGCTGGTCTACCTGGGTGACCTTATTTATAGGCCATAATACAGGAGAACAAATTAGAATTTAAATTTATTAAAAACTATTTGTAGTTATGATATTATTTAAATTAGTTTGTTTTTATTTACTTTGTAATTGAAGCCAAATTACAATTTAATGGCCAATTTATATATAATTACAAAGAATCCACCTTACATCATAGCTACTGTAAAACAAATTCTTATAAATATAATATAACTAGCAAAGTGTCCGCTAGTTCGTATGCGGAAAGGGAATACAAAAAATATTTCATATGGTATCAGATATCTAGCTGGTCTACCTGGGTGACCTTATTTATAGGCCATAATACAGGAGAACACATTACAATTTAAATTTATTAAAAACTATTTGTAGTTATGATATTATTTAATTTAATTTGTCTTTATTTACTTTGTAATTGAAGCCAAATTACAATTTAATGGTCAATTTATATATAATTACAAAGAATCCACCTTACATCATAGCTACTGTAAAATAAATTCTTATAAATATAATATAACTAGCAAAGTGTCCGCTACTTCGTATGCGGAAAGGGAATACAAAAAATATTTCATATGGTATCAGATATCTAGCTGGTCTACCTGGGTGATCTTATTTATAGGCCATAATACAGGAGAACAAATTAGAATTTAAATTTATTAAAAACTATTTGTAGTTATGATATTATTTAATTTAATTTGTCTTTATTTACTTTGTAATTGAAGCCAAATTACAATTTAATGGCCAATTTATATATAATTACAAAGAATCCACCTTACATCATAGCTACTGTAAAACAAATTCGTATAAATATAATATAACTAGCAAAGTGACCGCTACTTCGTATGCGGGAAGGGAATACAAAA